CCCATAGACAGCAAGGCAACTACCATGTTCAAGGCCCAGAAAAGTACCAAGATGATCGACAGAGTAGTCCGTGTGACATCAGTGGTTCAACTGTAAAGTTACGAAGCTACGAGAATACTTTTTTGTGCAAAGAAAACCCAAAGGAACGCGCGTTCACGACAGTATCATGACGCGAGCGTCTGGCGGCGCTGTCACGTCATGAACTGTGTCGTGAACGCGCGTCCACAAGTGAAAATGTGGAATAAAGTCGTTATTTTTGTTTTCTTTGCACGTAGCTTCATAACTTTACAGTTGAACCACTGATGTCACACGGACTACTTTGTCGATCATCTTGGTACTTTTCTGGACCTTGAACATGGTAGTTACCGTGGTAGTTACCGGGGGGAAAAAAAAAAATAATTTATTTATTTGCAAAAAGCATAATATAGTAATATATACTGTTGCTGTGGTCTGAGTTGGTATAAGTAAGGTTGCAGGGTAAGGTCTCTTAATTAATGCTGTCACTACCATGGATGCTGTCTCTATGATAAGTGTGCTTTGGATAAAGGCGTCAGCTGCATGTCAAATTCTGTGCGTCCTCAGCTGAAGGAAGGGGCGGGAGATGCTGCAACAGCGACGGTAAAGCCTGAGGTTCTGGAGCAGCTCGGAGAGGCCATTTTTCTTGCTGAGGAGGCATATCCAGGGATCTCAGATGTCATGGTCACCCAACTTATTCAAAGGCTACAACGGTAAGGACAGCATACTGCAGTACTGATCAAGCCTCATGTAGCTCTTTACTGCAATAGTTCACCCTAAAATGAAAACTGTCATCACTTGAACTGTGCTCAACCTGGTTGCATTAGAAAATGACTCACATTTCCCCAAAATTGTTTTTGTTTTAGACTTCACATTTGGAATAATTTTGGTATAATTACAAGTCGCAAAGACGTGTGCCTACTCTAGAAGAAAAGCAACTAATTTTAACTTAAATTTCATTTATAAATAGAAGTTGAAGTGAGGGTGAATATGAAACATTCAAAAAGTATACCATTCAAAATATTTTTGAAATCTTTTTTAATTAAATTATTTAAATGTTTTTGAAAGAATACACCGCAAATATGATAAAATATTACAATTTAAAATAACTTCTATTTTATTAAATATTTTTAAACGTAATGTATTCCTTTGATGGCAAAGCTACATTTTCAGCTGCCATTACTCCAGTCTTCAATGTCACTAATTATTGTTATCAATGCTGAAACAATTGTGCTACTTAATAGTTTTATGGAAACCATAATACATTTTCAGGATTCCTTGATGAATAGAACATTTATAATAAAACAGCATTTCTTTGAAACATCACTCTTTTGTAAAAAAAATAAAAAAAAAAGGCTTACTGTCACTTTTGATCAATTTAGTGTATCCTTGCTGAATAAAATGGTATACTAAAATACCCTCAACCAAACAATAAAAAAGCCGAATTACAAAAAACCCTAAACTTTGATTATTTTTTTTTTTTTTCAGCAACATATCAGTGCTTTTAAGCCAGTACTTGCTTTGATGTAATGGTCAGAAATTATTTCTGTATAATAAATAAAACCTCGACCGGTCAACGAGTAAGCTTCCTTCATGCGCAGATTCTTCAGCTTTCGTTTTCTTACCTGTAGGTTCTCTAGGGGAAGAACATCATCCTCATCGCACCAGTGATTATTCCATTATCCTGTCCGTCTCTCTTCAGTCCCGCCCCCCGGCATCAGCTCAGCGAATCCTGACACCAGCAGACTCTGTGACGTCTACCCTGGAGGACCAACTGTCCTTCACTAGCTTATCAAGAGAATTTATCAAACTCCTCAAGCTTCCCCTAGTTTCACTTTTCTTTTATAATCTCAATCTCCTGGAACACTCTTTGGAGTGTGAGTGTATGTGTGTGTGTGCGAGTATGTATGCGTAATGGTGCGTTTGTAATGGAGACCGTTTAAGCAATGGACAAAACGTAGATGTAACTCCCTTGGCTAAGCTCAGAGCGAGATGGAGGCAGGTCTTTTTGCGTTATCGTACCCGAGCTTTTGGAAGAATGCATTAAGGTGTATTCCATCACAGGGTGAGGAGACCGGCCCGTCGCCGCCTCCTCCACCCTAAACAAAATACAAGATAGTGTGCATGACTCTGAACAAAATGCATGTGTGAAGACGGATGTCTGTCGGAGTGTGTGTGCGCATCCGAACCCTGATGTGAAGGAGATTGCAGTTCTCACGCTGAAATCTCAGGTAATCTGCGACGAGCAGACCAGTCATCCAGGAAGACAGAGGGCGCTATGTTTGGATTTGTGTACAGATCTGTGTATATAGTCTCAATTTTATAGACCTTTAAAAGAGATGATGGATTTTTGCAAATGAATCACTGTGTAAAGTGGCCAAGAGCTTCTGTAGATATTGTTAGAAACAAAAGAAAGGTAAATATTTAAAAATCAAGCCTCTGAAATGGCCGATACTGAAATGCCTTGCCTTTTTATCAAATGTACATTTTTGGGGGTGCTCTGTTCATTTTAATAAGAAATTAAAGGGTTTTACTCAAGGTTTGAGATCCTGCCAATGTTTCTTTTGTCTGTTTGTGAGCAAAAGCAATCTTATATAGTAGTAATGATTTCAAAATAATCATTATTACTGGCAAAAAGTTTTTGTGAGGCATAAGTATATTTTTTATTGAAGCACTTCATCAATAGTTGATTCATTCATAGCTTATTGGACCCAATGTAGTTTAAAATCCACTTTAAAAATTATTTAAAAATTCACAGAAGAAAACGCTGAACTCTAATGCCCATAGCTGGTGCAAGTTATCTGGCACGTTCTTTTTGTAACCCCTTTAAATATCGCACATTTAGTTGCATTAACTATTGTGAAAATGAATTACTTTGAAAACTTTAAAATATTTTGTTTCACCCATTACTTGGTGTAGATGAATGGCTATTAACTTAAGCTCGGGGCGTTTTTTGGTATTTTCGCCTAAATTTAACATACTCAAATTCAAATGTTTACCCTGCACACATACAATGGAGGAAATGAAAAAAAATGGTTTCATTGTAAAGAAAACCCTTTGAACTACAAAATATGAGTGTAATTCTTTATAAATAACATTATATACTTTTCAAATATTACTATAAACACAAAAAAAACATAGGCGCTTTTGGAGTTTTAAAACTAAGTATTTTTTTGAAAATCTGTAATTCAGGTTCTATTAGGCACAACTCTCTGCAATTTACTTTGTTTGATGCCACTAGATGCCAAAAAGTACCAGAAAAAGAATCTTTCAAATAACAGCTTCTAAACAGGAGTTACTACATTATTTGTGAATTTTTTTTTTACCAAACTTTGTATAAAGATGATTCTCAACTATGTTATAACAGAATGATTTGATATACCATTTTTATTTCTGCAAAATGTGTGTAAAATGGCCATAAACAAGTTTTCTCATTATATACAATGTATCTATAAACTGTATCTAATTTGCATATTAATGTGTTT